ATAAGTTGTCTAAAAATATTTCGTAATTATAAATAAAAGGTTAACCACAGCATGGAATAAAAAAAAATAAAATTGTCTAATGTTCATGTTTAAATTACAAACTTAATCTGTTTGGCGTCCTTAAAAATCTGTACACAAAATTCTATAGTTATCCAAAATACTAAATACTCGTACATTTTTAAATATATTTTTTCGACGACATGACTAAGTCGGCTGATAATGCTGATCAAAAATTAAATACTTAGTGGAGTCTCAAACTCTTTCTCCCTCACTTTATTGAGTATGAAAAGAAGTATAAGAAGGAAAGGGTATGCAAAACGATTGGCGGCAGCTGTGCACAATTTATGTTGAGTATTGCACAGCCGGCAACAAATCTGCAACAGCAGCACCAGCAAAAAAAACAGAAAAGAGAGTTGAGTTGAACATTGAACGTTGCTTTGGCCGCAAGAGATGTCAGCTGCTGATGCTGCAGCGGTTATTTTACTGGGATACTGATGGTGGCAACGACCAAGCCACATAGCGTTTGCAACATAACACGCGTATGGAGGAGAAATTGTGCCAATTTGTTTGTTGCTTTTGTTGCAGCAGGCAAAGGCAAAAGGCAAACCACAAAGCGACAACCGACAAGCGACAAGAAGTGTCTATATGGCGGCATTATTGATGATGACAGAAATGTGTCGTTGTCGGAAAAGCATTTTCCATGCGCAGCTGTGCCAGAAATGCATTTGGAGCCGTTCGCTCTTTTGCCATGAACCTCCGATCGGGTCCAGAGTCAAAGTCAGACCTCAAGTTCACTGGTTGGCCGGAGACCACCACTACCGAAGGCACACTGAAAACAAACTCAGCAGAAAAATGTTAGATATTAAGTGGCTGTAATTACCCTACTAATTGGTAACTATTTCAATAAAATTAAATTCATCAATCTTTGATTACGATTTCATATGTTTAAGTAATTTTATTAGAGTTTTAACTGATATAAGAAATACTGCTCAATGTTTTTCCCTGTGCAAAATCAGCAACCAGTTGTTGATTAAGCTAAATGCGCCTTGAGGATCGCGCAAACTTTTCCTCTCTCTCTTTTTTGATGGGCAATATTTATGCCATGCATTAATTTTCATGTCTAAAAGAGTTTAAGGCGTAGAGCCGGAATGACCTTGTGCGTAAATTTTAATCAGCACATCCTTAAAAAAAAGTAACAGACTGGTTTGGCAGGCATGCTGATGATGATCCGTAATTCGTGACTCATCCGCCCAGCCAGCTCAAATTATAGCCGAGTTAAGATCTTTGCATGCGGAAGATGCGCAAAAGGGAAGACGACCGACCCAGCATCACTTTGATGGACAGACACAATTGGGTTACAGGAGAATAAAAGCCTGGTCGTTGCAATGGCAACTATGCAGAATATGATATCATCACAAGAAATTCTTTGAAAATCCAGAAACCAGCGAGCAAATTCAAGCTATAAGTCAAAACGCCCACAGTCGCCCAGCAACCGCATGAGAACAGCGTCGTCATTTTCATCTTCATCATCGTCATCAGATACGGATACAGATTTAGCAATGCGATACACAAATTAGCAAATTGTTATTTTTATAATTGAAACGCCAACGAGCCAAAAAAAAGTGCCAGAAAGCAAATGGCAAGAACCAAACAAAAGACAAAAGCTCACGATTCAGAGCCAGAAATTATGCAAATACCAAAGGAACACAAACAAACAAAGATACATCTGGAAATTAATATGATAATCTTTACTTCTTCAGTTCTCATATTTTGAAGTATTTTACGTGTATCTCACACGTCTCTTATGGGTTTTAGCCCAACTTATAGAATTGTGCATTTAATTCATACTTGCGTATGCGTATTCATGCAGATTATTCAGTTCACAGCATATATATAAAAAAATCATTCATGCGAATTTGTCAGTTTAACTTCCATATTCTATGACTGGTCGTTCGGACGGTTTTTGCGTCCACAAATTGATAACATTTTATCAAAGGTAGACACTTACAAAAAGATAATATAATTCAACTTTGTTTTCAAATCTCAAACGTACTTTTTATTAACCCTAGTGGGCATACAATTTCTCTTGTCGTTATTATTATTTTCGAGCGTTTTACTCGAATTCGTTTTAAGATTGTATTAGTTTTTATGGAACTTAACCATCTGTCACTATACAGAAAAATGTTTTTAACCACAACCCAAGAAAAAAACAGAGAAATCTGCATTCAAGACTGAGAAATGAAAAGAAACCCAGCCTCTTGTCAACTTGCATATACATTATCTCGGCTAAAACCGAAACCTCAAAACAGTAGAATACAACAAAACTTGTATATAAAGTGGATTTTAAGCACCATTGCGGTTTAAAATGACCCGAATTCGCAGGGTCTTAATTTAAATGGAAGAAACCCTAAGTCAAAATAGTTTAATTCTACTAAAATGTAGGGAAAACTTTCGTTGTTATCGGTGAAATAAATCGCCCAACCCCTTGGCGGAAAAGTGCAGCCCACCAGCAGAGATTATCATCATACCGCTTTTTCCCAAAACTTCAATCTACCAGGTTCATCAACAAGAAAACGCATTTGATTCTCCAATTGGGGTTTAAAATACTCTAGCATCAGCAAACTCGCGGGCACTTGATGCTTGGCAAATGAGTGGGACTCATCCACAACCACAAAAATATTATTATTTTTACTACAACTACGCCAAGAAATATGCGTGGGAACTGATTTGAGAAAATTTCATATTTACAATATACAGCCCAGCAGAAGCAGTAGCCATAGTAATAACGAGAAAAATGAAAAACGTAGCACAAAGCAAAGTCTGGAGGAATCAAATGAAGTTGAACAATTTTGCTACTGTTTATCCCGAAGTGAGTGTAAAGTGCCACCTGAAGTGACTCTGCCAGAGACCCAAGATCCAAAGGGGCCCAACCACTGAAGAGTAACAGAGTCATCAGCGCGTTTTGTGGTCGTCATCATCATTATCGTCATCATCATCAAGGTACAAACCTCCACCAAACCCCACACAATTATTCCTTGAGGTGTACATCGGCCACATAATCTGATTTCTATTCCTTTGCCCTGGAGACTTGACCGTGAAATATAAGATTTCATGGGCATGCATATTTTATATTTTAATTAGGAGTTTCTAAGCCGAGCAGTAAAGGCACTTTTATTACAATGTACTGAGTGCAGAGATCACGGGGGATAAACTTAATTGGACGTAAAAAAAGGACTTTTAATTTTTTTTTATTTTGTCCTCCCTCAGCAAAAGTTAATTTAATATGCATGCCCTTAATTAAAAATGCTGTGTATTATTTTGTCAAATACACATTTTCTCTTCTCTGCCTTGGTTTTCTGTACATGTTTTGTACAGAATAAACTCTTCCGTTGCTTGTTTTACCCAACTAATACAAGGAAAGGGGCTTTGACAACGTTAAACGACAACCAATTCTAAGAAAAAAATGTTTGTTACCACTTGGTTTGGAATTTGGTTTCTATCGGTGATCCCAAAGAAAACTTCAAGTTTTCTGGTCTGAGAAATACACAAAAAAAAACTTTACTAAAGATTGACAATAAAAGAATGCTAAAGAATTAAAACCATTTTTTAACAAATAAAAAAAAAGAATTTTAAAGTGGCTTGCTGTGAAGAGCGTCTATTGAAACCTTTTATACATATATACACATAACAATACTATTGTTGTCCATGTCCATCAAAGTTTTCTTCAAATTTGACTTGAAGTTGGCTTTCAAAACACGTGTCACCAATATCCAAAAATTATTATTATGCATAAGGTAATATTCATCGCAGTAATATAAAAGTAAACCTGTGAATATGTCATTTGGTTTATGAATAATTTGTAGACATTTAAATGCTTCACTCGTAAATTTATAGAAAGTCAATTCTGTGTTTGTTTGCTGAAAGGGTTTTGATCGGAGTTAAGTTAAGGGGGCCGGCGTAATTATTGACCTGCTGAGCGTTTTACGGTTTGACAAAGAGAAATATCTCGGGAATCGACGTAAAAGATGTGTCAAACATAAAGGCCCTAAACCAAAAATTTAAATTCTATGATTTTTTATGAATTTTGTGTAGCATTTGATTAAATCCGTACTTCAGGTATACTGAAGGTATTATGAGAAACTCTTTATTCTAAATGGTAAGATTTTTCTTCTCGCTGCTTGCTGGCAAATTCCGATGATCAACGGGAAAATTTAAAGAAAGGCGCCATAAATTCAGTTGTCCCAAAATGTCTCTGTGCCAAAAGGAAAATACAAAAACAGAATAAAAATACGCGTTTCCCAACTTGTAGCTTCGTTTTCTCTGCTGTTTCACGCCGAAAATCCGAATAAACGGGAAGAATTCCTGTCTGGCTAAGACAGGGAGCTCTCTACAAATATCTCGGATATGCTTGTGCATATATATAGCATGCATATACGCATATATATATATTTATATGGAACCTATTTTCATCTAATTTCTTTCATTTCTATCCACATGCCTTGCTCTATTTTTGTGAGGCGCATTTTTAGCGCTGTTTCGTCGCCGTATTCTTCTTTCTATAACTCAATTTTCATTGCATTTTCCTACTCCTCACTTTTTCTCTTTTATCTATTTGGCTTCTTTTCGGGTTTTGGTTTTTATGGTTTTTTATTTGGCCTGCTCTATTTCTGTGTACATTGTTTTCGTTTGCGCTTGTCTGGCAAACATTAAAAATCAAAATAAAAGCTTTTCCCCATTTTATAGTTTGGGGCAGCCTTAACATTTATTTCTTCTTTTCTTCCATTTCACTAATTTAAATTGTACGCTCTATAAAATATTTCGATTTCATTCACCATAAATTATCGTGAATCTTGAAAATCCGTGATCTCTGAACTGGCGCCATCCCATTAAAATGGAAAACATTAAATTGTTCTTACAATTTTTAGCACTTTGAAGTCAGAGATGTGATGAACATTTTTCATATTCTTTAATGAAATTATATATTCAGCAGATCCACTTACCGTCCAAAGCAGTTAGGCTTCTCTTTGTCAAACTTTAAATGGCCACCTTAAGCCTGTAGAAAGATAGAAAATTGAAAAATTAATAAGGTAAAAGAGATGAAATAATAGTTTCACAGGTATTAAACTATAAATCGTTGATGTATTTCGATGTTTGTAAAATGTTTTTTTTTAATACTTCGCCTAATAATATTATTATTTATTTATTATATGTATACTAATAATAATTTTTGGCCAATTCATCAATGACACATAATGATGGAACCATATATAAGAAGGCATTTTTATGCAAATAAAATTATTTATCATATTTTTAAATATATTGAAAATTTATTACAGACTGCATAATTTGCGCAGCCAAAAATGCGTAACACCCTCGACAGCTAGGCAGGCGATATTTTAATTTTTACGCAGCCAAGAACTCAAAATTCCTTAAGATCAGCCAGCCAGGGCGAAAAAGCATAAAAATAGTCACCGAATTCGCTATTTTCGTTGCTTTTTTGTTCATTTGACAGCTCGGCATCAACTAACGAATTACAGAAAATTATGCAGGCAAGATAAACTACAGAAACGGCGAGATGAGTATCTATTGGCGGATCGATATTGAATGATTGAATGAGTTGTTTGTTTCGTTCTCAAACAATTAAATTTGACGACGACCACTTTTCAAGACAAGGAATGGGACGAACTATTCATCAAATTGCCAAAGGCTATGCGAAGTCGAAATGAAATTCTTCAAAAATATTCCAAGTCGTACAGCAAATAAATACATTTTCGCGGTTTCGGGTTCTGCCCGCTTATTGGGGCCGCTCGCCATCCACCTCCAACTCTTTTCAGACCGTTTCAATTAAGATGAACAAAACTTGGTTGTCGTCATTTCGGTGTGCAAAAATAAACATTTTTATTGCCCGCATGGCGCCAAAGCGAAGATGTATCTTGTATCTGGAAGCGCAGCGCCAATGTGTAAAATAAAATTAAACGAAGTCGCGAGGCGAAGATTCGTATGTCCGTGCCAGTTGCTAATAAATGTGCAATTAAAACCCACAGAAACATTTCTTACGCACGCAAAGCAATTGAGGAAATTTTAGCCTAGCCAGCGATGATTTCGCCGATCCATCTAATGATATTGTATTCATTAGAACATCAAACGCTGTGAGCCCAAAGGGTTGGGATCATTTACTAAATTGATCATAAATTTCAAACGAGGCGTGCCCATATAAATTCAATTGGAGGTACAAGGAACACCAACAAAGTTTTTATTATAAATTATGCTATGAAACGACTATTTTGTTCACATAAATAGCTCAAAATACCATTTTAATTGTTTTTTTTTCAGTGCATATGCAGTCCGCCTATTAAAGCACTTTTCTTTCCATAAGTAAATCTTAAAGTTTTCTGTCCATTAAAATGTATGCTATTTTTATATCACTTTTTCTCTTTTTAAATACCTTCCAAAATTAAATGACAGCATAAAAAGGATTGGGACCCGTTTTCAGAACTAATTTCAACTTAAAACTATATGGTTGAGGAAAGTACTTTGGAAAAACGAATAGATATAATTATAGTCCTTTTACAGTCTCTGAGTAAATCAGATTCATAAATCCACTTGTTAGAACACTTTCCGCCTCGTTAATTGACAGAATGAAAAACCAACTTTCTATAGCCAAAAAAACCCAGTTAAGCCTCAATTCAAAAGCACGTATCTGGAGAAGGGGGAACCTGACCAATATGGTCAGGCGTCTAGAGACTTTCTTCGTTCATCAAAAATCCATAAAGCCAGCAAGACATTTTCACCAGAAGAATGGACGTAGAACAAAGTGATACATCCACTGATGTTTGGATTTATTCATACCCCACCCCTCTAAATGTCTGTATAAAAAGCTAATCAATGAACCCAGGTAGACATACAAATTAGAAAACGCGTTACAAAAATGCAAGCAATTACAAAAGAAAAGGAAATTTTCGTGACAAAATTACTAATTGTGCCTGAAAGAAAAGAGCACAGACAAGTGGAAAGTTGTTCTTGTTGCTATAAAAATTCAAATATTAAACTGCAGAAATAGCACACTTACAAGTAAAGCCAAGGCATTTACTCAAAACGAATTTAAGACAATTCAAGCTCATCTAGAAAAAGAATCGTAGAATTTCAAGTGCATTTGGTTTTTGCCACTACTTTGGCTTTGCCTTAATGGACAAATTTTTTCTCTTGTCTGATGAAGCTTTCCTTCCCATGCTATAATTTACAGCTCTTTACAATTGCATTTTACCATTATTGTTTGCTTTCAAAATCGCCTTGTCGATAAGATGGTTCCTGGCCTTTCGGTATTTACGAGCACACAAAGCTAATGAAGAAACGGTGTTACACCTGCTATATACTTGGTTTTTATGAGGAAAAACCAACAAACCAAACCAAAAAAAATTATATTTTACGATTGACATAACGGCCCGAATGACTAAATTCGGTTCTGCCAAAAAGCTAGTTAAGCGGTTTTAAACAATATCTTCAGGATTTGAAACCATTATTGATGGTTAACTTTCTGTTCTGATCTCTAAAATATCAAGGTGGATCCTTGCAGTAACAATTTTGATTGTTTTTATACCATCTCGAACCAATACATAGAGTTTGATACAAATCGGATACCTAGATCAAATAGCTTTCATATAAATCTGTCATAGTGACAGTGCAGTTTTACGCAGTAAAACACCGACTGGGAATGACATGGCCAAACTCACTAATCCATTTTTTGGAATAAATGCAAGGGTATCTAAACTGTGGCTTGCCAAAGCTAACTTTCTTTTCTATTTCCTTATCTCGAGCCTTAGATAAAAAATGTACACCAAGATTGCTCACATATGACAAAGCAAAGCATTGTGATTTTGCCGCCAACAATAGGCGCCATTATAGTGTTCCCTAGACCAGTTAAGACAACCAGTTAATATTCGAGTATGTACTAAGTAATCGCACCCAAATTGACTGATTGGGTGAGTAAACTATGTCAAGTTCCACAAAGACTGCAAACTGATAAGCGCAAGCAGGCCTCCCCTTTCAGCTACGAGCTATAAATAAATCATGATTGTTGATTTTATGGATGGGCACAAGCGGAAATTGACCATTTGGTTAACTTGGCTCAAAGACCTTTGACAGTGTTGGTCAATGCAAAGCAGATGCTAACTGGGGAGTGGTCTTCCCTCCCCTTTCTGCCCCTGAACGCTGATGATGATCAATGGCCGGTCATTCAGTTTTGTAAGCAAAGCGTAAACTGATTGTGATCGAAGGCTGCAAGCTTCGGTGTAAAACCTCAGCGGATCGCGGACCGCAGTCACTGAACTTGCAACAGCGGCAACAGGATGAGGAGGGGATCTGGGGAATTGGGGGAGAAACAGGCAAGGGAGACGTCAAAAGGCCAACAAACGCACGCATACCAAGACCCGAACACATGGCCAACATTGTCTGGGGGCCAACTAATAACAAACAACCGGCTTTCGCAGTGAGGCGCGAACAGAGAAAGATTTACAGTACAACTTCGATCGCTTGAATTTTCTGTACATACAAGGAAAGTAATTAATAGGGAAACTTTTTTAAAACATTATAATTAGTATGGGTACAGATTTAGTTGTAAAGCTGTAAAGCAATTAAAAAGTGTGCTAATCGTTAGCAACACAGATCAGGAAAATATCTTCCAAGCTAATTCGGTTGGCATCGATACCCAAAAGAAATATTGTCAATGAATATAATTTGATTATGTACTAGTTCATGCTTAAATTGACAATCTTCTAAACCATTAGATCAGAACAAAATTGTCCATATATATATAATAATATACCAAACAAAAACAAATTTGCATAAGAATATTTGTCATCACAATTGGAAAGTTGTTTATGTAGTTAAGGAAATAATTTTGAAAGCTTGCTTAAAATTGTAATTAAGTTTTATATAAATAATAATACATATTGTATTTATCGGATGACATACCAATACGTTTGCCTGGGGGTTTCATAAAATACCTGAGCAATTTTAGAACCGCTTTTAATATTCAACAAACATATATACATGTTAAAAGATACATATAGAAACCAGACTGTGCCGAGAGAGAAAAAGGTGATGGGGGCGGTGGGAGTTAGAGAAAAGTTTGTTTACTTTGGAGGCAGCGATTTTCGACCGCCACAAAACTCGTTGTTGGGCATGCGCATAAGTCACTCCCAGTCGATGGTCGCTGTTGCCGCCGTTGATGTTGATGTTTCTGTTGCCGCTGCTGATGTTGCTGCTGCAAATTGCGCGAATTCCTTGGCAGCCAAGACAGAGCACATCTGTCGTCACATTGGGGCAGTTGGCGCTTCACAACACTGTTTTCCAAGCGAGGTGAAGGCCGCAGAAAACCCGATCCAAGCTTCACTCCGAAGCTTCCACAAGCCCAGTCACCAATAATTGCATGGCCCGCATCCCAGCGAGAAAATTTCAGCAAAGAGCCAAGAGGCAAGCTCTCGGCCATAACGAATTCGCAATAATGTGCATTTTATTAGATACCACTTCTCCGCGCCACGCTCCACCGCTCCCCCCGCTGCCCCTAGCACCACTCCACACCGAGTGCATTTTCCGCTCAAACACGATTTCATTTAAATTTTCCCCATGCATTTTTTCCTTGCCCTTTAGGGGCCTCACCTTTGCATGGAAGAAGGAAATGCATTTGTGTAGCTCGAAGTGCTGGATCTTGGCAAATGGCTTAAGGTTGTCAGCCAGGCAAAAAAGTGCGTTTTTCAGTTTTAGTGAGTGGAGCGCTGCAAAACGGTAGAGGAAATAATTGTGTGGCTACTCCAAATGATTATGACTCTTTTTAAACGAATTACAGAGAAAAAAAAAACATTTTCTTCCAACAAATGAACGATTATATAAACAAAATAAACGATATTGTGCATTTTATTTTAATTTAAGACTTATACTTACAATTTCTTTCCAATGTATTGTTATTATTTTAAGCAAAACATTAGAAAATAGTTTTTATTTCCTTCTTGCATTTGGTATTACGATTTTTACCTATTTGTATACTTGCTAATTACC